CCGCCGCCATCTTGGGTGAGGGCATTGGGAGGAAGCGAGACGGGAACCGCCGCCATCTTGAGTGAGGGCACTGGGGGGGGAAAAGGGGAACCGCCGCCATCTTGAGTGAGGGCATGGGCACCCGCACCCCTCTGGGCCCGGGGTGTCCCCTGACCCCCAAAGTGTCTGTCCCGTGTCCCCCAGTGTCCTCTGCCTGTCCCTCAAGATGTCCTACATCCCCCAAGATGTCCCCTGACCCCTAAAGTGTCCCCTGTCCCCCACTGTGCCCCTTGTCCCCCAAAGTGTCCCCTGTCCCCCCAGGTGCCCCTTGTCCCGCGGGGTGTCCCCCATTCCCCAAGATGTCTCTTGTCACACACGCTGTTCCCACCGGTCTCTCTTTATTTCCCACTGCTGGAAATCCGGGAAAGGCCCTGGCAGCACGTCTGGGCACCGCCAACGCCCCCCAGCCACCCCACACGCGTGTGCCAGGGCCGGGGCAGGGTGCCAGGGCAGTGCCCTGTGTGCCAGGGCCGGGGTCTGGAGTGCCAAGGTTGGGGTCAGGGGTGCCGGAGCCGTGCCAAGGGTGCCAGGGCTGGGGTGCTGTGGCAGTGTCTCTGGTGCCAGGGCTGGGGTTCGGGTGCCCGGCGGTGCCTCCTGTGCCGGGGTCACAGGGACGGTACAGTCAGTGCTACCGTGCTGGGGCTGCAGTTCGGGTGCCACGGCAGTGCCACGGCAGTGCCAGGGTTGGGGTGCTATGGCAGTGCTTTGTGTGCCGAGCCTGGAGTGCCGCGGTGGTGCCTCACGTCCCGGAGCTGGGGTGCCGTGGCAGCACTTCACATGCTGGGGCTGGGTTTGGGTGCCCTGGCAGTGCCACAGGGGCCAGGGTCGGGGTGCCGTGGCAGTGCCTCACGTCCTGGGGGCACGTGTTGGTGCTGCTGTGCTGGGGCTGGAGTTGGGGTGCCGTGGCAGTGCCTTCTGTCCTGAGTTTGGGGTGCCGTGGCGGTGCCGTGGTGGAGCTTCACGTCCCAGAGCTGGGGTGCCGTGGCAGCACCTCGTGTGCCAGATTTGGGGTGCCGTGGAAGTGCCTCGTGTGCCAGGTTTGGGGTGCTCTGGTAGTGCTGCGGTGGAGCCCCACGTCCCGGGCTCGGGTGCCACGGCTGTGCCTCACGTGCTGGGGCTGGACTTTGGGTGCCACAGCAGCGCCACACGTGCCGGGGTCTTGGTGCCACGTCGGTGCTGCCGTGCCAGGGCTGGAGTTGGGGTGCCAGGGCAGTGCCTCGTGTCCCAGGGAGCGCCTCGCATGCCGGGTTTGGGGTGCCACGGCAGTGCCACGTGTCCCAGGACCCCCGTGCCACGGCTACTCGTCCTTGGCACCATCGCGGGCGCCCAGGTCGCAGCGGTAGTGGAAGATCTGGAAGTGCAGGAGGGTGCCCAGCAGGGAGGGGCTGGAGGCGCCCACCCTGCGGAACCCCTGCCCCTCGTAGAGCCGCTGGGCCGCCACCTGCACCATGGAGGTGCTGAGCACCACAGCGCCGAAGCCGCGGGCGCGGGCGAAGCCCAGCACCTCCCGGCACAGCGCCCGCGCCAGCCCGCGCCCGCGCTGCTCCCGGCTCACCGACATCCGCCGCAGCTCCAGCGCCCCGGGCGACTCCCGCGAGGGCACCGCCGCCACCATGCCCGCCACCGAGCCCCCCACCTCGGCCACCCAGAAGCCGCAGTCGGGCGCCCGCAGGTACGTGCCGGGGATGTCGCACAGGTCGGTGCCCAGCGCGTCCCGCACGTAGTCGGCGCTGAGCGAGCGCACGAGCAGCCAGAGCAGCACCAGCGCCAGCCCCACGGCGCCCAGGCCCAGCACCCAGGAGCCGCCGCCCGCCCGCGCGCCCACGAACAGCACGAGCAGCGCCAGCCGCACCCGCGCCGAGCGCAGCACGTGCCGGAACCCCGCCGGGGCGTGCTCCAGGATCCCCCGGGCGAACAGAGCCCGAACTGCCTCCGAGTCCTGCTCCCGGAACAGCCGGATCCGGAACGACGCCATGGCACCTGCGGGGGCACAACGGGGTTAGCCAGGGGACAGGGAGGGGACAGGGAGGGGACAGGGATGGGGACACCTGCGGGGGCACAAGGGGTTAGCAATGGGACAGGGATGGGACAGGAAGGGGATAGGGATGGGGCACCAGTGGGGTCAGGGATGGGAAAGGAATGAGGGCACCCGTGGAGTAAGGGATGGGACAGGGATGGGACAGGGATGGGGGCACCTGTGCAGGGCACAGGGGTCAGGGATGGGACAGGGATGGGGGCACCTGTGGAGTAAGGGATGGGACAGGGAGGCAACAGGGATGGGGGGGCACCTGTGGGGGCACACCGGGGTTAGGGAGGGGACAGGGATGGGACAGGGATGGGGGCACCGCGGGGGGCACAGGGGTCAGGGATGCAATAGAGATGGGGCACCAGTCGGGTCAGGGATGGGAAAGGAATGGGGGCACCTGTGGAGTAAGGGATGGGACAGGGATGGGACAGGGATGGGACAGGGATGGGGCACCCGTGGGGTCAGGGATGGGACAGGGATGGGGTAACACAGATCCCAGGGCCAGGATGGCACAGGGCGGTCAGAGCAGTGCCCAGCTCCACTGGGACCCTCGGGATACCCCCAGGTCCCAGCACCAGGGTGGAGCAGGGCATCGGGTCAGTGCCCACCTCCCAAGGCACTGCCCACCTCCACAGAGACCCCCCAGGGTACCCACAGACCCATTTGTGGGACGGCACAGGGGAGCAGGGCAGTGCCACGGGGATGGGGACACCCGGGGTACCCCCAGAGCCGTCCCCGGGGTGGCACGGGGGGGGTCGGGGCTGTGCCAGCGCCTCTCCCACCCGGGGGTGCCCTGTGACGTGGGCTGGGGGGGGATCCCGAGGGATTCACTCCCCTGCTCCCGGCTGGGGAGGGGGTTTAACTGGGACACCCGGGGGGA